GATCATCACCAGGAGAAAACTGCCATAAAGTTCAACATCATATGTAAATTCCACAGAATGAACCTGCAGAAAAAGGGTTAATTAAGACAAGAGCAGAGACTTCGGGTATCATGTCCTGGTTTCCTCATAAGTAAAATGAGGATACTAATGATGTTTTCACGGTGTTACGGAAAGCATTAAATGAGTTCATATACACCCACAGTGCCTAGAACAATGTCTGGAAGGAATGTGATGAGCACCGGTAAATTTTACAGTTTGTATATCCAACCAAAGTTGTTGAGTTCCTACTATATACCAGGCTCTGTGTTGAGCACTGTGGATATGAATGGTGAGAAAAGAAGAAGAAAAAGATTAATGTTTATTGAGTCTTTATGAATGAATCACTCTGACAGTTGTTTTACACACATGATCTTGGTTTTTAATTAGTAACCTTATTAGGTAGATATTATTTGCCCTATTTTATAAATGAAGTAAAGAGAGATTAACCATGTTTCTAAAATTCACAGAGCTAGTAAGTGGTAAAGCAGGGATTCGAAGCCAAGACTAGGCTCAATCTTGCTTTTGCTATAAATAAAACACAATCCCTGTCCTTGAATGAACCATCTACAGAGGAAATCCGCACATAAATGGCGAACTATGATAAGGTAAGTGCCAAAGTCGAGTTATATACAAAGTGGAGATATTTACCTATAGGAGTGAGGAATTACTCTGGGTACAAGAGAAGTGACATGTGAAGGATAAATAAGATTTCTCCAGGAGAACAAGAGCATTCGGGGGGTGGAAGGGGATGTGAGGGAAACAGTCACAGATTCAGAGGCACAGAAAATGCCTGAAGCATTAGAGGATGCAAAGAAAATGACCAAGAATGCCAGCCCATGAGTGAGAACTTTGGTGGGCGTCCAGCCGCCTTCCCACACAGTTTTTCTCCAGCAACCCAAACCTAGGTCTGCTGCACACCTAAGCTTCATGGCATCTTTACAGTACCTCTGCCTCCCTCCTTGTTCACTGGTGCCCTTTGCAGTTTTTGTGACTGCATCTAGTCTGTTCTCATTGTGTCTGGATTGTTCTACAATAGCTTCCATGGCCTACTCCATCAGTTTCATCTGCTTCCGATTTTTTTCCATCAGTTCCATCTGCTTAAGAACATATATTTTTCCAAGGTTTCTTAGCCTTGCCTCCATTCCAGGCAAAATTAATCCTTCTGCTTTTTCACAGGCTACTTTCTACAGACCTCTTTAGAGCCATTATGTTATAGGGCTGTTTATGTGCCTATTTCCCCTAATGTGACTTCCTTAGGACATCAGTCCTGTTCATCCCCAATGTCTAGTCCAGTGCCAAACACATAAACGTTTGATAAATGTATCAACAAGTGAATGAGTGAGTGATAACCCAAAGGCCCTTGCGAGATAGTTAAGAGCCTCCATCACATGGGTCCACCCAACCTATCCAGTGCTTCCTTCCAACAACCTTAACAAGAACATTTTAGACTGGTCTTATCTTTACTCAGTCTTTCTTCTACCACTCCAACCATTATCCAAGCTCCTCACTGCTTCTTCCTTTACCATTAATCCATACAGGGTGCTTTTTTCTACCTACATCGTTTTGCTGATGTTTACCAGCCTACAAAGCTAAATCCTCTCTTCTCTGCCGACTAAGATCAAACATTTTCTTTATCATGTGCAGAAAAATCAGACATCCTTCCCTGACTACTTCCCACCCCTGCAATTTTTTTTTTTCAGAATTGTCTTTAACTTTTGAAACTGCTAACCCCCATTCTACCCGCGTATTACCTCAAGTTATTTTATACAAGCATGTCTTGTCTTCTCAAAGCCAGGGAATGTCATTTCTAGCTTCATCTTCATCTGCCATTACACAAGGTTAGACACACAGAAGTTTGTTCAGCAAATAAGTGGGAAGCTGGTAGATTCGTAATGGCTACTTAAGGGCTAATCTAACGCAATATTATCCACAATATTTCTAGTAGTAATAGCAAATTACTGTTCCTATTATCATTACCACTACGTGTGACATATGGACAGGGAGTTTTATGAGAGACCAGGCTAATATTCCTCTGGTAGGAGAACTGAGATGTAACTGCCCTTTGCCATGTGTAAGGATTTTCGGGGGATATGATGTAACATGCCTAGATCCAAGGCTGTGTGATTGTCTCATGATTGGATTTTGCTGGCTTGAGAGCTCAAAGTTTGAACCTTTAGCACACAGAGTCCAAGTCTATAGGTTTCATCTACACTCCTGGGTCCACCTCACGAGGTGCACGTACTGCAGCCTTCGTTCTGATCCCCACAGCTCTGGCAGACAGCCACACTGTTCTCATCCAAACCTCATCTGGAATGAGTAGATCCGTCTTTGCCAGAACAGGCTTTAGCCCTAAACCAAATAGGGCAGCTGTTTGCCAAACTTGGAGATGACGTTTGATTCTAATGATCAACGTGGAGCTGAGCCACTGAGGAGTAAATGACAGAATGGAAAGTAGTGATGCTCAATTTCCAGAGTTAACAGCCACCATGTATTTTTAAAGGATCTATCCAGTTGGCTCTGGCTTTTAGGGGCTTCAATAAAACTCATCCTCATTATATTCCTTTCACATTTGTGGGAAGAATGCAAACGGAATGTTTACTTATACAAAGCTTCTCTTCCTGCAAAATTAAGCTGGAAATCTTGAAATAAAGGGAATAAAAAAAAAATCTTAACGTGAATTAAGAAACATGGAAAGAAAACCGAAAGGAAAGGAGTGCTTTACAATTCTCCTTTCTTGGTTATTTATTGGTTTCCTCTAAACACCTCACAGTTCAAAACATCAGAATTTAAGCTGAGTATCTGGTCCAAAGTAATCCAATCTCATTCTCAGGTTGTCCTAACCTAGGATAAAGAGAAGGTCACAATTAAAGGCTAAAGACTGCCACACTGGCCCTGCCCCCCCAATTCTGGAGGACCTCCAACTTCCCTTGAATTTTCTAATTCTCCTCTACCTTGCCAGGGCTATTTCACATGCGCTCCACTGTGCCCTCTTGCATGGTCCAGCTCCTACGACTGGTTACACCGAAAGTGGCAGCGTATGCCAATGACACATGATGAAGTCAAAATCACCAGGGCCCAGAGAAGCTGCCGTCACTTCTGTCTATGCCCACTGAAGTCACTGATCCTGAGAACAGTTCCCAGGAGAGTGGGCAACGGAACTACACCAATGGGCTCCCTCCCAGAGGCAGTGATATTGCTGCTAATCTCTACTTACGTCCCAGGGCCACCAACCCCAGAAGCTAGCTGTGCCCAGGGTTGAGGGTGCTATTGGTTAAGGAAGTGGTCCTCTTAAGACACCAGTTGCTAGCACTAGAGTAACTAGCAGTGTGTGCGCTTACATCGCATAGATATTTTCATGAAATCACTCCTTGCCTTAGGCCTTAGATCCATTGATATGACCAATCTGGAATGATAACCACTGGCTATACCCCTCTCCGTTTAAAGTGGTCCATCGACTCGCACCAGCTTTTGAGTATTTACCCAGCCTCTTACTCTCTCTTCCCTTACTATCAATTTCTTCAGAAGGGGTCACTCCTGTAACTGCTCTTCATTTAAACAGTCACTTCATACCCAGTGGGCTCACAAGCCCTTCATTCACCCTTGCCCAGATAATCATGAATTCCAAGGCATGCCTGCTGCAAATATGTGCTTTCTTTTATTGAGAGTATTTACTTCCGACACAATCAGAACTGGTCTTATCGTTATTCATGCCACGTGGTAGAGAGACCTAGAAAAATTCAAAACTTGAATGCAAAAAGCATAGGCGACCAGCTCTATTTGGACTACTTGAGTGCTTTGTTTTTCTTTGTTTTCTTTGTGTCCCTAGAACTAACTGCATGATCTTCTTTAAATAAAGTAAAATCTGTGCCCTAACCCTGAGAGAGAGAGCCCATTAAAACCTTAGTAGAAGATGGTACAGGAGTCTAACATCAATAAAAGAAGTTGCCTGTTCCTGACAATTCATTTAAAGCTGCAGTCATCGATTAAACTTGAATTTCCTAACTGGGTAGAACAATGTAAGTATCTTAAGACTCTCTAGACACTTCCGTGATAAAAGACAACTTTTCTTTCGAGGGCCCCAGTGAAAGACTCCTAAGAAGACGTACCACTGAGGGCTCTGAAAACACTGGTTGCCACTGTTTTGGCCTCCACATCACAGCTGGATGACCAGGCAATATTAAAGCTCCTAGACAGACTAATTCTGTGTCTTCTATTTTAAACTCCTTTGTAAAATGGAATCGGACACGCCTGCAATTCTAGGAATGCCTGCTAAGCCTCCCACCAACCTCTTGAGTCAATCACCATCTCATCCACCTTCAAAAAATACTTAACTAAAAAGATATCTTGCTTCCATTGAGGCCCTGTGTTATTAAAAAGCACTTTTTAGGTTGGGAGGGAGGCTAAATTTAACCCACGAGAGAGACAAGACAGAATTTTCCTGGGACACAGGAGCATATCTCCACACATAGCACATGAAAGGCAGTCAGTCTTCATAGGCACTTCTCCGTGACGGCCATAGATACAAGTTTTTCTCTTTAATCTTGGCTTCTTTTAAATATCATACCACCAGGTAAGTGTACAACTTGTTATTTATGTTTCACTTGCCAATTAGCATAATCTTCAAACTATTTTGCTTATATTTTTAGGCAGTACACTATCTTCAGTTGTACATAACTAACATTTTTCAAAATATTTGAAACATCTCAAAATAGGTTTTAAATCGTTTTACAGTCTAGCTTTCAGGAAATTTGTAATTTGTAGCAGGTCAGTTTTCCACTTGGAGAACGAAAATTTTAAAGATGCAAATCAGGGGCGCCTGGGTGGCTCAGTCGGTGAAGCCTCCAACTCTTGGTTCTGGCTCAGGTCATGATCTCACAGTTTGTGAGTTCGAGCCCCTGTCAGGCTCCATAGCACAGAGCCTGCATGGGATTCTTTGTCTCCCTCTCTCTCTGCCCCTCCCACACTTGTGCTTTATCTCTCTGTCTCACACAAATACATTTTTAAAAATGCAAATCAAAGGACTCATATTAACAAGCAGGTTTCAACGCATTTCACGCCCTCAGACCACAGCCATGAACCCAGTCAACCACCAAAAGGATTCATGTCCCTAGGTGGACATCTTTTTTGACAGACATTCATTTTTGCATCTAAAGGAATGTATAATTTAATTTCTCTACCTTTTCCAATTTTCTGAGAAGAGAGATGACCCCAAGAACATTACTTCCTCTCACTATCCCAGGAATTGAAAACACATACCAACTTCGTGTCCCCAGCTGACTTTCAGACAATCAGTTCCAAGAAGATATCACTCCATGATTGTAGCAATTCAGAAAAACTTCAGAGAAGACTACAAATTCCAGTTGAGTATCACAGTCATGAGCTTATCAAAACATGAAAGAACTCTGCTTGCCTTGCTGGACATACTCTGTAAGTGAATAGTTACATATGAATTATGGATCCAATTTCTTCCATGATTTAAGCTACTTTTTCTATTGTGGTAAGAACACTATGAGATCATCTTCTTAACAAAATTTTAAGTGTACAATACACCATTGTTAAATTAAATGTTTTATTGCAGATCCCTAGAATTTAATCATCTTGTAAAACTAAAACTTTATTATAGCAGCACTCTCAACAATAGCCAAATTATGGAAAGAGCCTAAATGTCCATCAACTGATGAATGGATAAAGAAATTGTGGTTTATATACACAATGGAATACTACGTGGCAATGAGAAAGAATGAAATATGGCCTTTTGTAGCAATGTGGATGGAACTGGAGAGTGTGATGCTAAGTGAAATAAGCCATACAGAGAAAGACAGATACCATATGGTTTCACTCTTATGTGGATCCTGAGAAACTTAACAGAAACCCATGGGGGAGGGGAAGGGGAAAAAAAAAAGAGGTTAGAGTGGGAGAGAACAAAGCATAACAGACTCTTAAAAACTGAGAACAAACTGAGGGTTGATGGGGGGTGGGAGGGAGGGGAGGGTGGGTGATGGGTATTGAGGAGGGCACCTTTTGGGATGAGCACTGGGTGTTGTATGGAAACCAATTTGACAATAAATTTCATATATTGAAAAAAAAAAAAACTAAAACTTTATACCCATGGACGAATAGTATCTCATTTCCTCCTCCCCACAGCCCCTTGCAATGACCATTCTACTCCGCTCCTATGAGTTTGATTATTTTCAATACCTCATATAAGTGGAATTAGGTAGTATTTGTCCTTCTATGACTAGTTTATTTCACTTAGCATAGTGTCCTCGAGGTTCATCCAAATTGGCACATATGGCAGGATTTCCTTCATTTTATTTTTTGTTTTTTAGGAAGAGAGATTGAGGGTGCACAAGCGGGGAAAGGGGACAGAGAGAGAGAATCTTAAGCAGGCTCCACATGGAGCCTGATGCAGGGCTCAATCTCACGATCCTGGGATCATGACCTGGGCCAAAATCAAGAGTTGTATGCTCCAACAGCTGAGCCACCCAGGTGCCCCTCCTTCTAAAAGGCTGAATAATATTTGTTGTGTGTATATACCACATTTTCTTTATTCATTCGGCTGTCAATAGCCAGTTAGCTTGTTTCCATAACTTGGCTGTTGTGAATAATACTGCAGTGAACATGGAAGTGCATATATCTCTTTGAGATCCTGATTACAATTATTTTGGTTATATACTCAGAAGTGAGATTATGGGATCATATGGTAGTTCCATTCTTAATTTTGGGAGGAACCACAATACTACTTTCCATAAGGGCTGTACCATGTTGTATTCTCACCAATAGGGCACAATGGTTCCAATTTCTCCACGTTCTCACCAACATTCATCTTTTTTTTTTTTTAATAACAGTCAACTATTTGATAGTAAGTTAACTTTTGATAGCAAGGAAGATTTGTAGACTTTCTTATCTTCTCTGACTCTTTTGTAAAGAAAGGCGTTCAAGTGGCCTTTCCTCAGTTGCCTTCCACAGAGAGTGAGTGGGCTCTCTGGTATATCCTATCAAATCAGAGTCCCACCTATATAATCACATTTCACATTAATTACTTCCTTACCTCAAATACAGTCGTATTTGGGGTTAGCACTTCAATAACTTTTCTACTGTAACTGTGTACTCAACAAACATTTATTAAGCACCTACTGTGGGTCAGACATTGTACCAGCCATGGAAAATAGAAAGCAATTAAGACTGGCCTCACATTTAAGCAGCTTAATGTCTTTAGAAGCCCTGCATTACAGTACGTTACAATAGTATGAAATACAATGTGTATTTGGAATGCAGTGGCTTAATAATTATTAATCACTTAAGTGATTGCAGTATGGTTGGTATGTGCTAAGCAAGGAGAATGTACGTGGTCCTATAGAAAAACAGAAGAGAGGCACCCTAGAGAGTGGGGATGGTCAGGAAATACTTCCCAGAGAAAGTAATACGGAGCTGAGATTTGAAGGCTTTGTGGAGTAGGCTAAATGAGCCATAAAGATGGAAACAAAAATAGCACCTGCATTATGATGAAGCTCATTAGAGAAACATATTTGGTTTGTAGTCGAGTGAACTTGCTAATACATTATGAACCGCCCCCCCCCCCCCATCTCACCCTTATCTTGGCACTGACAGTGCTCCAGGGGAAATTTGGGGTCTACAGAATAGGATTACTATCTCACACTGGGCCTGACAACAGAGGGAAGAAAAGGCACAGGATCCCCAATCCTTAGAGTTTGTTAAGAGAATAACTCCACCCCATTAAGAAATGTGGACCAACGCCTTCAAATGCCATTATGGGAAAAGGAAGAGTAAGGGGTGGGGTAGGAAGACAAGGATAATAGAGAATCTCTCCTCACGAAAATAAGAAGGGCACAGGCTATGTATTCCTCTCTACCACCACCTTAAGACCAAATATCATCTCTCACTTGGATTACTGTACTAGCTTCTTAGCTAGTCTCCCTATTTTCACTAATCCAAGCTCCACGCAGTCACCAGAATATTTTTTCATTGTAAACATGCATAATGCTATGGACTGAATTGTGTCTCCCCGTTGCATTTATACATTGAAGTGCTAACCCCAAATATGACTGTATTAGAGGTAAATAAGTAATTAATGTGAAATGCAATTACACAGGTGGGACCCTGATCTGATAGGATATATCAGAGAGCCCACTCACTCTCTCTCTGGAAGGCAACTGAGGAAAGGCCACTTAAGCACATGCAGAGAAGGCAGCTGTCTGCAACCCAAGGAGCGAGCACCAGACATCAGCCCTGTCGGAACCTTGATTTTAGATTTCCTAGTCTCCAGAACTGTGAGAAGATAAACTTCTGTTGTTTAAGTCACCCCGTCTGTGGTATTGTTATGGCGGCCCAAGTTTAACACGCACGGGATAAAACTTAGCACCTTAACCATTTTTAAGTATACAATACAGTGGCATTGGGTGCATTCACAATGTTGTGCAACCATCACCACTGTCTAGTTTCAGAATCTTTTCACCACCTCCAAAAGGAAATCCCATGAAATAGTCTCTCCCCAGTTCCCACACCCCAAGCCCCTGACAACAACTATCTGCTTTATGTCTCTGTGGATTTGCCTACTCTGGACTTTCATATGAATGGAATCATACAATATGTGATCTTTGGTGTCCGCTTTCTTTCACTCAGCATATTATTTTCAAGGTCCCTCTATATTGTAGCATTTATCAGTACTGTCTTCGTTTTTAAGATGAAATAATATTCCATTGAATGGATATACCATATTTTTTTATTCATTCATTAGCAGATAGACATTTCAGTTGTTTCTATCTTTTGGCTATTTAAATAGTGCTGCTATGAACGAGTCATATACAAGTTTTTGTTTGAACACCAATTTTCAATTATTTGGGGTGTATACTTAGGAGTGCAATTGCTAGATCCTAAGGTAATTCTGTGAATTTAACTTACTGAAGAACCGTCTGTTTTCCTCCAATGGCTGCACCATTTTACATTCCCACCAGCAGTGTGTGAGGTTTCCAATTTTTCTACATCCAGCCAACAGTTGTTATTTTAGAGGAATTTTTTTAAAAATATAAACCTGATATCATTCCTCTGTTTGTAAAATAAAAGCTAGACTCTCCATCATGGCCTACAATGTCGAACACTATTTTGGGTCTGCCCCCTCTTCTCCCCCATCTCTTGTCACTCTCTCCCTCAACCTCTGAACTATAGCCACTTTGGGCTTCTTAATATCCAGTGAAAATGCCAAGGCCACTCTCAACTCAGGACCTTTACACATGTTGTTCCTAGACCTAATGGCTGTTCTTGCCCAGCGAAGATCTGTGTTCAAATAGCCCTCCTCAGGAGAACATGCCCAGAGAACCCCATGTGAAGAAGTCCCACACGTTTATATACATTTTAGCACTTATTTTCTCATTCCCTTGCTAGCTCCTTGCCTTCATAACTTACAAAACCATCTGCAATTCATTTATACTGTCTTCTCTCAATAGAATGTCAGTTTCATTAGAGCAAGATCTTTCTCTGTCATGTTCATGTTCACTGCTGTGTCCCCAGGAAGTGTCATGGTGCCTGGTACAGAACAGACACTCAACAGATATTTGTTGAATCAATTATTTAATCTTTGAATGAATAGATGAATTCTAGGCCAAAGAAGCATCATCGTTAAAGACTCCAGTGAGTTCTGCTAGCCATAAGAAGTGTTACTTGGTTGGAGAAAGCATGTCTGGTCGGGAGTATGGAGGTTGAGGACAGAGGTCTGGTTTGAGGCAGAGCATCTAGGCCCTGTGGGCTACGCTAAGGAGTCTGATATTTATCCTGGAAGCTACTGGAGAGTCCGCTGAGGAATTTTAAACAGATAAATAAGGGACATGATTACTCTTACATTTTGGAAAAGATCACTTTAGCAGCAGTGTGCAGAATGAACTGGAGGTTATAAAACCAAGGACAAGGAAAGAAGTGAGGAGAGTTTGCTAGTCATGCCGGGAGGAATGTGGGGTAACTGAACTAAAGGAATGGACCTAGAGACAAGGGGCATGATATAAGAGCTGGTAATGTACTGAGGCAATCCATGAGACGTGGTCAGCAGCCATATATTAGGGGTGCTTGAGGGCAGGAGTGGAAGAGAACACTCAGACTTGAGCCTTCAATAACTGTCACGGTGGTGATGCTGCTCTTCACCAGAACAGAGGGGGGAGGAAGGAAAGAAGAAAAAGATTTGAACTTTGGACAAGTTGAGTTTGAGTTTCTCAGAAAGAAAAAGTTGAATAGACACTGGATCTCGTGTCCAAAAAATAAAAACTAGTAATAATTGGTTATAAATTTGATCGAGGGAGGTAAGCTTTAATTTCTCAATTTTCTTAAGTTTTTATTTATTTGTTTCGAGAGAGACAGAGACATCATGCGTGGGGGAGGGGCAGAGAAAGAGAATCCCAAGTAGGCTCCGCACTGCCA